GCTCCCGGACGCGTTCGCGCATTGGATCGGGGGTGTCATTGTCCGTTGCGGAAGGGGGGAAGTAGAGGTCGAGTTTCCGGCGCGATAGAGCGACTGTGTTGGCGTAGAGGTAGGTGAAGTCTGCTGGAGATTGAAGCTCGACTTTTCGATAGTGCGGTGCTGCCATGACAGGCTATTGTGGTTGTTGATGTTTTTCTTTTCCCGCGATTTGCAGGAGAAATGGGCTTGGCGTTCATCCCCGCAACGATGTCATCGATGTTGCATCGATTGGCTCTTCAAGGTTTGGCTTTTTTCCCCCCTTCTCGCTCTCTATCTTTCCTTATTTTCTTATGTTTATTTCCTTTGTTAGCATAATATACAGCTCTAGGTTTCCATGTCCCTCCTTCCACTGTGATACGACCCACGACCCCTTGAGATAATGCGAGTGCAGCATACTCATTGATATTCTACAGGGCCCGAGAAGCCATTGGGATGCGTCAGCACCATCGGAGACATCCCTTGACATACCCTCACACAGACCATGGAGAACTCGCCTTCCATTTCCCTCGTGGATAATACCGCCCCACAGCAACCTACTGGAGAAGGATCTACACGGCGCACATCCACCCTCAATCAGCAACCAAGCCTGACGAAGCACCTGAGCCGCGCATCCGTCCAAAGCCAGCTCACGAAGCGGAAATACGCAAAATGGCAACCCGATAGACTCGGTATCGCGCCCGAGGCAAACGACTCGCCCAGCCGAGGATCGTCCCAGGTGCGCGGAGATTCAATTTCAGCAAGCTCCACCGGAGAAGGCAGCGGAGCCAGAGATGTCGAAACAGCTGACTTTGCGCCATCGCGTGTCTCGACTAATAATGGGAGCGGCAGCGGCCAGGTGAACGGAATAGGAGACCAACCCAACGGCCGCGAGGACACCAAATCGCGCTCGGAAATGGACGTTCTCTACGAGAACCAGCGGGGATGGTTCGTTTTTGGTGTCCCACATTACTCACATAGCTCGCTGTTGAACTTCGACCCCAGCCCCTGGATGACCCAGGACCGCAGAGCCAGTCCTGTTAATATCACGAATGCCCAGCTGCCTGATCCAAGCTGGGAGTGGACGTGGAAGACATGGTATGTTGACATGTCTGGTGATACCGATGAGCAAGGATGGCAGTACTCTTTTTCGTTTTCCTCGTCTTCTTGGCATGGTACGCAGCCGTGGTTCCATTCGTTTGTTCGGAGAAGACGGTGGGTGAGACTACGGACTAAGGCCCTTGAACGGCGGAATCTTGGTCGCTCAGACTTTGAGAAATCGCATATGTTTACTGAGGACTATTTTACCATTCATTCGTCCAAGGTTAGAAGTCGGGAGCAGAGCACTACGGGACTGTCCCGTGTGGAATCCGGATGCTTGAATCATGCGAGCATGACGGTCGATGAGGAGTCACATGTCGATGAGATTGGGGATATACCCAGTTTGATGCGTGCTTTGAAATTAGCCTCGATTGATCGAGAGAAGATTGATGCACTGAAGAAATTCATTGAGGAAGGAGGCGACGAGCTCTATTATCTGAATGACAAGGTGAGCGGGTCGATTTTCCCTAACTTGTACGTTGAGACTGGGCTAACTCTACTTTGATGGATATCAGATACCAGATATAATGCCTATGTTCCTATTCCAGACCTCCCGCTGGCAATTTGTAACATATCTTTCTGGTGTCATTCGTGAGCTGTCCAAAACTCCCACCGATTCTGATAAAGACGCCGATGCAGTCCAACGCAAGAAAGACAATCTCGCTCGTGCTGCAGAATCTTGCAAGCGTCATATCACCGGACCGGATGTCTTTAAAGATGATCATGGAGAGTCAGGAACGGAATTGTTAGACTTGACTCCGGTAGCCAAGCATGATACATTAATGGCAATGGCTAATAAGCGACCGGCTTTGGAGGAGCGTGCGAGGTCGATGAGGCGGATTTTCAGGGGCATTCCCAAGGCTGCTGAGATTGACCATGAAGGTCACATTTATTAATGTATTAGAACTCCTGTGTATAGGCGAAATAGATACTATTGGGAGAATAATACATAGCGAAGTATAGCAGCTCATCCGACAGAGCCAAGCTCCGGCCACCGCCTACCCGTTCCGCGGCCCAGCAATTTTCGGGGCAAAAAGGTCCATCGAAAAACACCTCAAACAGCAGCGCGCCCAATTCTTGTCTCCTTTCCATTCATGTCTCCGGTGCCATTAGAGCATCGTCCCTTATGCTCTTGCGTGGCTGCCCGTGTCTAAGGAGGCGCCTGTCTGCCGTCTTGGACACTGTCGCGACTGGCCCCGATGAGCCTCTTTTGTTTCTCTATCCCCGCTGGGCTGCGCCTGCTTTGCAGCGTCGACGGATATCTTCCCTGAAGCCGATTGATACTCCAGCGAGGATAGGTCATAATTCCGGCGCCCCATTTCTTACAGCAGTCCGCCCCTGTCCTTCGCTTTCCCGACGCTCGCGTCAATGGATTTCCTCAGTGTCTTCCTCCCGGCCTCCCGACAATTCAAATCCGCAATTGTCCCCTGCGGTGGTCCGAGAGCATCATAAAACAGGCAAGGGCAAGGAAACTGGCTCCGATGGTTCGAATGAAATTGGTGGAGGTCGGCTCTCCACTGGTCAGAAACAATCCGTCAATTCCCTCGCAGATGCCGAACACGCCGCTTCTATGAAACCACTACGTGGCTTTGCATTGACGAGAGCGAAGAGAATACAGAAAGGGCGACTGCACAATAAACCCCTGAGCGCCAAACCTTCGCCTCCTACGCAGAAACAACTCTTTTTACGAAATACATCGATTCGAGATCGGAAGAAGTTGCGGTTTCGAGAATATATGAAGAAAAAATATCAATCTCGTTCAGCAAAGCTCTTCGACAATGCTTGGTTTGATACTAAGGAGATTCTGGACCAAGTACAACGCGATAACCGAAGAAATCCCAAAAAGAGTGTGAACAAGAAGGAGATACTTGTACCAGAGGAGACCCTCGCCCTGTTTTCTGGTGTGACTCGTTATACCTTGAAAGAGAATATTTGGTACATCCCGCTCCATAATGGATGTCGTGTGCACATCCTACCTGCAAGTCAGAGCAAGGGATTGCTCCGACGAGTCATTTTGAGTGCCACGGACCATATAATGGCGCTGGTGGAAGGGCGTTTTACCCGCGCACAGAGCCTACAAGCTATGGGTGATCCCCTTGTTGATATCCACAAACCACCGGTTCCGATGTGCATTTCTCGGGGTGCGATGCAACGTTCGAAGCTTCCTGTACCGTTGATTCGTGGGAATTGGCATTTCGGTGAAACGTCGGATAGCAGCTCGAATTTGGACGAGATCTTGCTGCCTCGTCCGGTTATTGCCACCGTGAAGGAGTTCACCGAGCACATCGAGGATGTCACGTCTGCGAGGCAACCGACGCTTGATGAGAAGGCCATGTCTCTATCAAAGCTTCCGCACGTGGTCCGGATTAAACTACATCTGAAGGCGCTATTCATGGAAGAGACATACTCCAATTACATCTCGACTGCGGCCTTAAATAATGCACTTGAATTTCTTTGTCGGCACGAGTTCCTTGATACTGCCCGGACCTTGCTCTCACGCACAGAGCATGTGGCTACCACTGATACATATAACATCCTGTTGCGGGCTGCTGCGAAGCGTCAGGATGTGGCTGTCTTTCGTCACATCCTGCGGACGATGCCTCGATTACACATGCGCCCAAATCCAGAAACATGGCTCGCATTGCTCAGTGCCCTGGTTGACCCCAGCGAAAAAGCCCAACTTATTGAACATATGGTCCAGCGAGGTCACATGTCGAACCTTTCCACCATCCACAGCGCGCTCCAGGAGACAATCCAAGATTCGCTTTTAGTGCATTTGGACAGTGGGAAAGATATAGACTCCTTCATTAGTCTCATGACCAATACATGGGGCGCTAATTGGTTCAGCCCTTCCGTGGTCGGCCAGATGTTCAGTGTGGTCGCGCGATTGAAGGATTTCGATTCCGTAGACCGGCTCATGGAAATCTGCATCGACAACAATCTCACCGTTGACAGTTATCCGCTCAGCCATATTGTGCATGCGCTAGGCGCGAACATCCACGTCGCTTTGCAGTATACCCTGCGGTTTTTCGAGCACCCTTTATTCGAGGTAACCTCGCAAAATTGGGAGGATTTGTTTTTGGCCGCCTTCAGACACCGCCAGTACAACATCTGCCTGGTTATATGGCGGTATTCTTGCATGAAAAAAACCGTGACCTACAAGATGAAGCAGGCTGTCTTGACTTCCTTATGTCGCAACGCGTCCTTTGGTAAACCCACGAGACTCGACAAAGATTTGTGGAGTTCCGATGCCGGCAAGGTCATCGTCGGTATCGACACGCACCATGAAGGCTACAGGCTTCCAGACTCCGTTCTGGACGAGATCCCCTCCGAGTTCCGTCACAATCCTATTCTCTACCTCATCGGATGGAAGCCCAGGGGTGAAAAACGTGATCTCCAAATCCGCCTTGCCAATGCCCTCATTAAACGTGACATCATCCTCGGTGCAACCCGCTATGTCCCCCAGCATCCTTCCCCGATTATGCTGGATGCAGCGTCCATCTTGGACAAGGAATGGTGCGGTGCACCGCGGCCTCTGACCTGGAAGATGCAAAACGCCATTCAAGTTCCCATCGTCCGCAAAGACAAAGACCGAGACCAAGACAAAATTAAGGACCAATAATCTCCCAACCCTCTTCCTTTTTGCATCATTCGCGCATTCTTCGATCCTTCTCCATTTTTGACGCTAGCGTGTTGCATGAATATCCTATCTGGCGGGCTTGTTTTGGCTAATCAGCCTACTTCCCTGTCACCTTGTATCTTATACTTCTACATTATCTGAACATATAAAATCATAGAGCTGCAATGTCCAAAATAGCATCTTCTAAAAGTATATATTCATCTAATCGCAAACCAATACATTTACTCTTTCAATATAAGCGCGATCAGAATCTAAGCAATGCATCGAGATCATTCATAAAAACATCATAGGCAGAACCAGAGTTCCCACCAGTTGGAACTCTCACTCCCCCCGCTGAAGCAAGGCCCCCATGCAGAATCTCAGCTTCGTAAGCTAACGTCTTCTCAAAACGAACCCTCTTATCCACGGGCACCGGAGACCGAGACTGAGACTCCGACGCAGGTATGCTAATCCCCTTTATAGAAGTCGCCTCCGCACAATCTCTAGATAAAACATCAGACTGAGGGCGCCTCGAAGATTCCCCTGATGAAGACGTATCCTGCTTTCTCTCATTCGGTGCAGTTTGCATGTATGCAATCTCTCCTTCAATCTTGGGCGAAGGGGACGGGGAAGTAGAAGCGGGAGTGAGAGAAGGCAGTAGCCGGCGAATCTCCGAATAGAACGAATACACCGCACTCCAGCGTGGTATCTCGTGATCGATTCCCTTTGACAAAAAGCCGTTGACCTGGAATTGGTGTTCGTGGTTACTACTAGCCCTTCGGCTGTTGTGGTTGCGGTTGGGCATTTGTCGCCGGATAGGTCTTGGAACAGTCCTGTAAGTCTTGCTAGTATCTGTACATTTTTTTCGCTTCACATACCTGTCAATTGAATCTCGTGGAATGCAGCATTGCTCTTCTTTGCGACAGTGCGTGCACTGATTATATGGCGGAGCGATGTCGCATCGCTTTTTGCGGGCGTGGCAGGCTGTGCAGGCTATTTTGCCGGGTCGACGACCTCGTCTATTTGTTTTTGTTATCCCAGATGGGCCTCGGAGGTGTCGCATTGCGTCTGAATCCATTGGTGAGATATTCTTGGGATTATAAAACATGCACGGGGGAGCAGGTGGGTATATATATGGATAACAGACCTCGGGATGATCCCGAGGTCCACAAAAGATTTATGCAAGCTTCTGGACATACCTAGCTAGTAACCCCATAAAGGGATACTCCCTTGCCCCTTCTTTTCTATCATCAACATCTAGATAATAGCTTCTAATATTAACTCAATTTCCCATGATCGGATATTCTGCCAGTGAAACCTACCCTACGGGTAGTATCACACCTCCCCAAGTCCCATCACATGCGCCTATCCAAGCACTCCAAGAGTTGGGACAATTTTGTATCCAAGACGAACTTGAAAGATTTCAAACCACTTTGAACAGCAGCTCAATAAGCGCTGGCTCGCATGACTCTAATATAGTTGATCTGTCAGGAGTGATCATAGGGCGCTCCAATTAATGGTATCATGTATCAAGACCATCAGCCTTCTGGAACGTGAATCTCTCTATGGGAGAAACTCCTCCGCACAAGGCAGTATTCCTTCGCAAAATTGATGTCATTCATTATCTTGGGGAAGGAGCGGACCCTAACATCAAAGATGTCAGGAACCGAACTGGTTTAGAACGTGCTGAAGATATTTAGTCATGGGCCATCATAATGCATCCTCAAGCAGAGCAGATTATCTATGAGGCACCCTTCCTAGGCAATCGATCTCTCTATACAATATGAGTTCCACAAGGACGCCAGCTCCTGTGAAGTATATCTATTATGGTCATTTCCCATAAATTATCATGACATGTCATGCCAGCACGGCTTGACAGAGCAACGAGGAAACTTCAAAACGCTGCTACCAAAAATCAAATCAATGAGCCCATAGTCGCATGAGAATGCCCTCCACATGTGTCAGGCAGACCGGGAACTGGTGGTGGAAGACCATAGGGATCAACAAGAGCCGTCCGAATCGCGCCCACACCTTCTTTGAGATAGAGCACAAGCCGGTAGGCCGAGTTGCCATTCAAGTAATATCGGTGGAGCTGTTTGCTACGAAGGAAACCCAGCCGCTCGTACAGTTTCATCGCGCCAGTATTGGTGATTTCGGTTTCGAGGACGATCTGCCCGAACACGTACAAGTCAGCCCACAATACCCTCGAGACCACCCCATTTTGGGGACCAACAGCCATATCAGCCGTATAGACATACCTCATCTGCATCCCGCTCAATCATAGCGTCGATAGCCATGCGCACTAGCTTGGTTGCAATTCCCCGGCCCCGGTTCTCTTCGCGCACGGCCAGCATGGCGATATACCCCCTCAACGGGCCGTCGCGGTGTGGCTCTAGCTTCGATACCACGACCCCGACCATCTCGTCCTTATCGTCCATCGCGAGGAAACACAGATCACCCCATTGGTATAGGAAGTAGCGGTAGACGTAGATGCTGTAAGGTTCGGACAGATCTTTGGAGATCAGCTGGCGCATTGCGGCGACATACTCATTTTCGCGCGAGTTGTCATATCGCACGTAGCGAAGATCAGAAGCATGGCTCATCACAGCGATGTCATCGAAGTGGGCTGATATGGTTGTTGACGAACGGTGGGATGTGTCGGGGAGGAAAGCTACTTTGCCATGTGATGCCGATCCGCCCGTTCGCGGACTTTATGCACTTCCGTGTTTTTCTCCCCTGCCTTCCCTTGTTTCTTTTCTTTTTCTTCAAATTATTGCTCTTGATCTTAGTATTAATCTTCCAGGCAAATCGGCCAGGTCCTCTCCTTTTACTCCCTCCCTCGCGGTTGGTCGCTATGCTCCGCCGCCGCACGGGCAAGGACGAGGTCCCGCCCTCTAACAAAGTTAGCGGTACAAAGACCGAGCAAGACCAGCCTCATACGGAGTTTGTTGATACCAAAGTCACCCAGCTGGTTATCAAGCCCCGCAGTAAACGTCGCAATGGGTTCATCTTCATGCTGGGTGGGATCTTCGGCATCTTCGTCGCCTTGTTCTTCGCGAACCAGCATGAGGTCATAAGCCTGGATTCGCTCATGGATCTGAATCTCGAGTCATGGATTGAGGCTATTCCGCAAGGAATTGTGAGTGACGTGAGAGAATTCTCGGTACGTGCTTTCTAAGGGTTTTTATCTCTATATCTGATTACCATCTGGCTGACTTCCAACGGGGACATAGCAACATGAACGCGATACCGTCAGTTACGATTCGTTTGCAGTTGGGCTACAACTTCGCGCCATGGGCGTGGAAGCCAAACACCCCGTCGTGATGATCCCTGGAGTTATCTCGACTGGCTTAGAGAGCTGGGGCACGGAGGAAACTTCGCGACAATACTTCCGCCGACGATTATGGGGCAGCTGGAGCATGATGAGAGCATTGGTCATGGATAAAGCTGAGTGGAAAAACCATGTTATGCTCGATCGGGACACAGGCCTTGACCCGCCTGGCATTAAGCTCCGTGCGGCGCAAGGATTCGATGCCACGGATTTCTTTATCACAGGGTATTGGATATGGAATAAAATCTTGGAGAACCTGGCTACCATTGGTTATGATCCGACCAATGCCTTTACGGCTGCGTACGACTGGCGACTCTCATATCTCAACCTCGAGGTTCGTGATAAATATTTCACTCGACTCAAGTCCTACATCGAGACCGCGGTGCAGGTACAGGGCGAGAAGATCACATTGGCATCGCACAGCATGGGATCTCAGGTGGTGTTGTATTTCTTCAAATGGGTAGAAAGCGAGGAACATGGAAAGGGCGGCAAAGACTGGGTTAACAAACATATCGACTCGTGGGTCAACATCAGCGGTTGCATGCTAGGCGCCGTCAAGGGATTGACTGCCGTTCTGTCCGGAGAAATGCGGGATACAGCGCAGCTGAATGCCTTTGCTGTCTATGGATTGGAGAAATTCCTATCAAAAGAGGAACGCGCGGAGATCTTTCGCGCGATGCCCGGTATCTCCAGCATGTTACCAAAAGGCGGCGAGGCCATATGGGGAAACTCAACCTGGGCACCGGATGATCAACCAGGCCAGCCCCTGACCTTTGGCAACCTGCTCCATTTCCACGAGACCAACTCATCCTTGACACAACGCAATCTCACCACGCCAGAGAGTCTTCAGTACCTCCTGGATCAGAGCGAGGATTGGTACCGGAACCAGGTTCTGAATAGCTACTCGCACGGAGTCGCGCATACAAAACGCGAGGTCGAAGCCAACGAGAAGGACCCGCGCACCTGGCTCAATCCTCTAGAGTCCCGCCTGCCCCTCGCTCCAGACATGAAGATATATTGCTTCTATGGCGTGGGCAAACCCACAGAGCGCAGCTACTTCTACCAGGAAGAACCCGACCCACTGGTCAACCTCAAGGTCAGCATGGACACCACCATCACCAACAGCGAGGGCGTTGACCACGGCGTTTTAATGGGTGAGGGCGATGGCACCGTGAACCTGCTTAGCACGGGGTACATGTGTGCCAAAGGCTGGCGCATGAAGCGTTATAACCCAGCCGGCACAAAGATTAAGGTCTTTGAGATGCCTCACGAGCCTGATCGTTTCTCGCCCCGCGGTGGTCCCAACACTGGTACGTTCTTCTTTTTGTTCCCTTGCCTACTATTCCCCACGATATATGATAGGCGACTAACTTCATACAGGTGACCACGTGGATATCCTAGGCCGTGCCTCACTCAACGACCTTCTTCTCCGTGTCGCTGGCGGCAAAGGCGATTTAATCGAAGAGACTTTCGTCTCCAAAATCCGCGAGTATGCGGATCGTGTACAAATCTTTGACGAAGAATAGATCAGGCTCCCTTAGCTCCCTTACGACTGTTCTGAATAATTGTTCTTTTATTTGGCTTGCGTTTTGATACACATACATACGTACCTTTGTTGACATGTGGGAATTTTCTCTAGACGGATGGGGTTTTGCTTATGATCCAGCGTTTTGTACATCTCTTTATGACAGAGCTTTATATGAACATATTATGTACATATATTCTTTTCTATGGCAACACGTATTTGACTCGATTATGGCTTACGATACTAGAACACTAAAACAAACCATGTCGACAAGTCCGTACATAGATTCCAGCCACCTCGTGTATCACGGATAAGCACGGATACAGCTTCTTGCCTTGCCCTAAAAATAGGGAATTTAATGCAAGCTACCACCTGGGCAGCAACTGGTCCCATGTGATCGACGGAGTGGACTCTTTATTGGCCCACATGAGATGCAAGGACCACAAGATGTGCCGTCTCCAGCGTGGATCAACAGTCTTTATCACACCAGGGTTTGCTCGTTCTGTTCATGGAGGGGATGAAGGTTCGAATAGGTATAAACTAAATCTATACGGAGTAATACAAAATATGTCTAATATGTACAATAAAACCCAAAAAAGTAAATAATGTAATGTACAATGATACATACATACGCTAGTGATTAAAAATAATGCTAGCAATACCGAACAGGATCCCACCGCCCCCAAAGTAATGATAAGTGCACACGACCCAATCCAGGTCGTATCGAGGGCGTCACGGGAGGTGTAGATGCAATAGGTTGTCGGATCAGCTTCATCCTCGATAGTCAGAAGCCAAGAGAATGGGCGAAGCTCGAGGGTGGGGAGATGGCCTCCACCAAAAGTACCAAAGTCCCTTCACCCTAGCTGCCATGGTGTCGCTCGAGCTCTGAAAACACGAGCCCCAGCTTCAGTGTCCCTCTTTCCTGTCCTCGGATATGTTCGTGTCGAATCCGCACAGAAAGAATCCACACAATATCGAAGCCGATTATCACCTGCCAGGCGGCGTAGAAACAGAGGGTAGACCGAGACGGTCTTTTTGAAGGCCCCCTTTCATGTGTCGATGCAAAATGTCGTAAAAGAGCCAGTATTCAAAAATCTTCTAGTGCACAGCGAGTGGTGGTGCAGCAAAAAGCGCCGAAACTTTTCGTTTCCCCCAAAAAAACAGGTTGAAGTTCCCAGGCGCCTATGACGAGCGAGTGACACGAATGGTAAAGATATTTGTTCATCTGGACGAGCCGAAAGCGAAAAAGAAACGGGGCTCGCCCAGTTCATAAAGTCGTAGCGAAAGACATGGGTCAGAAAAATAAAGGGGATCGCCCGAGGGCGTCCAAGAATGTGTACAAGCGAAGGTTGGCAGCGGTGGCGGTGCGGGGGATTGGCGAATGCAGGCAGGTGAACAAGGCCTGGTCCCTTCCGCCACCGATATTAATATTATAGACGGAGTTGCCAGCCCAAAGTGGGGTGGCGAGGCATGTACAACTAGAAGGTGAAGAGTACCTTCAGCTCGAGGCGGAATTACCGCGCGAACCGGAGGTTTCATTAAAAACCTTAAGGTGTCGAAGATTGCTCGATGCAGATAATGTTCCCAAACATTGTCGTCAAACATAACGCCGATTCAAAAGTAGATGCAAGAATGGACTGCGCCGAGCCACACGTGCAAGTGAAGCTCGAGGATTACCGTCCAGCCTCGATGTCGTGATTCGAGGTAAGAGTTTCGCTTTCCCAGGTGTAATGATCGTCCACGGGGCTCAGGGAGCCGGAGGAAACGGACGAAGAAGAGCCCACGGTCCACTCGTCGCTATCCAAGTTGAAATCGCCATCCAAGCTGGCAAGATCATACCCGAATTCGCGAGAAGAGTCACCGATCTCCACATAGTCGTAGTCCCAGCGGAACATCTTGTCGGCCTGGACTCGCGGCAGGAACCGGGTCTTGGCAAAGTAGAAGGCAACTGTGGCAAGGAGACCACCGCAGACCAGATCGACTGCGTAGTGATGAGAAAGATACATGGTAGCCCACCACATCCACAGAGTGTAGGTAACCCAGAGAGGCTTCAACCGCGGGAAAACGTGGCTCATGAACAGTGCTGCCAGGGTGGAGTCGGCAGCATGGAGCGAAGGGAATGCACCGAAAACAACAGGGGACTGTTTGAAGCCCGAAGTGTAGAGATCAATACCCAGCAGCTTGTCAATGCGAGCAAGACCAGCTGGGTTTCCCTGCATGGAGTAGTCGGCTGGGGCCAAACCATACAGATTTTCATACCAGGGGGGCGAGCAGGGGAAGGCTAGCTGAATGAAGACGGCAATCATGCTGATGTATCCGAGAGTCCGGGCATACAGAGGGGTAGTTCCCGGGGGGCCGAAGAAAAAAAGGATCAGTGAAACGACGAATGGCGCTCCGTAATGGCAAAGTCCGTAAGGAATCCATGCCAGAATGTCAAGCACCACATTTTGGTGGGCGGATAGGATGTTGCTGATGTTGGCACCGTACAGGATGTTTTCCATGGCTGGCAGCACTCGGACCCAAATGGCGGGCCGCCAATCGCTTGGGACGAACCTAGAAAAACAGCTGTTAGCGATGTCCATATCCCCGCACATCCCGCTCACGCCACAAGGTCATGGCAGGCGCATCTTCTGGAAGAAGACCCAGAGAAATCAAAACTCACTGGCATCCATAGAAGAAGATAAGCCATCCAGCAACGGGGAGGAAAGGCAAGAAAAATTGCCGGGTGATTGGCATGAGGAGGGAGCACAAAAGTCCAGTGGCGATCGCCGTCTTTCCCAGCGGACCAGGTGATTGGATGATTGTCAAGGAGAAAAAGCCGATAATAAGGAGCAATAAGTATTGGAAGTCATACACCGTCCACCGGTGTGCCTGTAAGGATCTGAGGGTGTCGGCAGGCGAGAAGGAGGTTTGCAACCTCGATATAGACGAGGTAGGTGAGAGACGGCTCCGGAGCTTGGACCGGAGCTTGCGTCGCATGCGATGTGGCACCAGGAGCTGGAATGAACGCCATGGTACTTGGATCTGAAGCTTTCCGAACTGATTCTGTGTGCGATCTTTCCATGACGGATAGGAGGCACTCATATTCGCGGCGACTCTCCTCTAGGAGAGTCCGGATCACTTTGGAAAGGGGTGGTTGAGACTTCAATCAATGCCGCGGGACGGGACGGAAGGGAGTCGCGTAACGGAAGGAGATTTATCGTTGGCCAGAAGAAAGGCTCATGAAATGTTGAGTTGGGCCGATAGGAAGGCGAAGGATAGGGCCGAGGGGCGTGAGTCCCAGGGAACTCAGGAGGTCACGTTGACAAGGGTCGGGATGCAAAGAGAAAAGGGCGCAACCGAGCAAACCCAGGATAAACAAGAACTCGAGAAAACCGAGAGACCACTTTAAGCCCTGAAACGGAGATATTATGAATTAAAGAAGAGAGATGAGAGGAGGAAGAAAAGAGCTGGATTTCACCCATGGGAACTTGAAGTATTGATGTATTGGTATTACCACAATCTACTGGTAAGTTTTGGGTGTAATTTTCTTGGTATGATTACATATACATTATACATTCATGGGTGAACTACTACTTGACCGATTCGATGTGTCTATGGCGTCACTAGTTGGTTTTAGCTTCTTTTATCCCTTTTTCAGGGACGAAGCACATATAAATATTTCTAATTGTTCGTCTCATTTCTCTTGCAATCGTGACCGGAGCCCTCGGCAGTAGCTAGTAATACAGTCCTGGACATCCGGTCTGAGAAATTTGACTCGGAAGCCACGGAAGCCACGGAGATCACAATGTGATTCCTAGGCATATCTCGGACTTTGTTATGCCAATGGTCCGACATGTCAGCCTTCATGCAGATGATGACTCCGAGACTCCGATATCTTTGTCTACAATTTTTACATACGGATATAGCGTCATGCTAGTTATATCGACCCTAATGACCTGATTCTTTTAAATCAATTAAGTTTAATGTTTTTATTTGTACTGACCCGGCGCTTCAAAATTACAAATGGGACGCAAATTTTCGCAAATTTCCATATAAGATCCATCATCGGAACCTGATTGGTTGATTCTCCCTTGCCCCCATCGAGCTAGTCCCGGTATTGAAACCCATCCGAACTATTTAATTTCGCTTATGCACAGCTTGTAACATCTTTGTACCAACTCAACCGTCGTCCTGGTGATTCAAAACAGTGCCTCCCCATATTAACATTTGAAGGCTGTCGGCTAATGGCCAACATCTAGATGCTATACTCTATACATAGTATTTAGGCATTGACATTAACAGCCCCGGTTATGTGGCTGAGCCACACACAATTAGTACTTGATAATCCTAGTTCGATAAGCTAAACCGGTTAGAGTGCAACAGGCCGTTTTATATGGGGCCAGCGCTTACATAGATGAGGACGTGCAGCTGGGCCTCAGGGGATGATAACCCCTCCTCTAGGGGATACCAGCCTCCTGATTTCGACAACCAGTGTACAACATCTCGTAAAAGGAAATTGCACAAAAGAAGGACGGCACAGCTGTGATTGAATATACTTTCCACCCCTTGACTCTCGTACACATGCGTTTCAGAATTCAAGTATCGCGCGACCGAAGCCAATCACCCTTTGACCTCGTCTCCAATCCGGCGTCAAAGCTCCCTAGGCATTTTACAACATAGGCAGTCGTTACTCCGTAACTGTAGGTATGCCGAGGCTTATTATTACAATATTGACCATGTATTCATGTTTCGAATACCTGACAGCGTTCGTATTCGTATCTGGAGGCGGCTGCCTAGAGTGGATCGTCGGCTTAGAAGTGATGCAAGGCTGATGTGTAGAGCTGCGCCACAGATATGAAGTCAAGCTGTAATATTCAAACCTTGGAAGGTTTTGTTCGCCTCGCTACTAAGCCTTATCGGGATTTGGGTGCAGGTCAAGAATGTCCCTATAATGCTACCTAACTACCCCGTACTTCGGTGAATACTCGGTGAGGTCACACCTAACTCGTTGTCAAGATAGTTATGCAGATGCCAGAGACTCGATTTGCGTGACTCCTTGGCATTGCACAGGCTTACACTTCACAGGACACTTTAATAGCATTTCATAGTAAGTAAATTCCGTTTGAAACGCTCGTGCTTGATACGCAATACCATGATCGACGTTTCTGCGTCGTCGATCCTACCATATCATACTACACATCCCCGCAGACCCGATGCGGTCAGTGGGGGAAAATGACTATATCGTACATTTTGCATTATACACCATTCCTTGGGACAAACTTTCCTTTTGCAAAGATTTAGGGAAAGACATTCTCGTAGATGTGTGTTGTGCCAGGTACATGTACAGGCTCGCTACTCGTACATGTGCTGACATTTTGAACAAGAAATGCTCCAGGGCTAACTATTGCTCTTGAGCCTAAGTGCTTTTCTCCCGATTCATTGGATGTGCCACGGCCACTAAGACTAAAAATAAAATACTAGAGGCTTGTGCGTTATGTTCGGCGCTTATCTCGAGAGTTTGCTGTCCAGACAGAGATTTGATATCATATTTTGACTGCAATCACTATCTCCTTTTTCACTTCAGTTCGTATCCACTTACCCCTCCGCGCACTAAAGTACATAGCAAGCACTGCTGAGGAAGACTGCTTTCATGCAAACTTCTAACAACTCACAGAATTCTATCGCATTCAATATGTCATCGACGGTTCCAATCTATGTCGCAATTAGCATCGGCGATGGTGTTTATAAACATTGGGGTGTTTCCATCGATGCGCCCCGAGAAGAAGACAAAATTTTCCTTCAGGTAGCGGGTTCAGATGGTCGATTCCGCTATGAGATGGAAACCACAGATGTCCGACTATCGGAAAGGCTAGTGGAGTTGCTCCCCCTATATGATGTGGATGTCGCCAAAATCGACTCCATCAAGACTGTCGCTAGTCAGGTCACTGTTCACAATGAGATCCGAGGCTGGAATTGCCAAGACTACGTGCTTGATCTTCTAGAGGCACTAGAAAAAGAAGCGATAGTGAACAGCAAAGACGCGGGGTACAAGAAGCAGAAGAATTTGCTTCAGAAGAAGCAGGAAGGGCTGGCATAGGATATGTTTCTCTTTTCTGATACGTGAAATATCGCGCCCTGTTATCCTTGATAAACTACCCCGTTAGCCTATCATGGCAAGGCGCTTGGGGAAGTCCGCGGAGAAGGTGCCAAATGGTATCGCGTTGATGAATGCGCCTTGTCCGAAGGCATCACCTAAACAAAACAGCTCAGTGGCTTGAATTTTCCAGCATGTCACAATGCCAGCAACACATATGAAGATCCTTCTGCTATGCAGGTGTCAGTTTTTGCTCTTAGTGATGCCAGGACTGACAATATCATGGTGAAAAAAGATCTTAGTATTAATGACCGCTATGTTGTTGCTAGAAAATTGACTGGGAGAAAAGGAGCCATTGAGTGACTGAATCAAACTCTTCATTCTATTTTGGTTCGGTAATTTGCAAATCGAGATCAAGTAACCCCCCAACGCCAGCCGATGTATTGTCGTAAATCGAGAAAAAAGAAAGCCGCTCAGCGCCAACACTATGGAACAGTAACCTTGGAAAGAGTTTTCGATGGCCACTCAGTCATGTTGGTGGTCATCAGAACCATCAGCCAGCATCTGGAAGCCCTTCACCAGCCCCATTGCAGAACCGGCGGCGATGCCACCTACCAGTACCATTTGTATACCCCCAATGGCACCCTTGCGGACATTTCGACGACCGCGCCAGCCACTGACGAAACATGTCTTTACATATCCGAAGATAAACAGCGCAATGACCATGGTAGCAATTGACCACCGCAGGGCGATGAAGGCTTCATGGGGTCCAACGAAAAAGTATGGTATGAGAGGGATAAATCCACCGATAAAGTATCCCAGGGCAATTGTCAAAGCACAAACGATAGCTCGCGAGTCTGAGGGTTCGGGCAGCGTGTGGTGGAAGTTCATGAGAAAGGATGGAAGCATAGGAGAGTGAGACAGATGAAGTTTGAGTTGTGAAACCAGTTCAGAGGGCAACTCGTAAGGCTCAAAAATGTCGGAGATGGTATCGGACACAAAGTCGGGATCCGTCATAGTCTGCGTCTGGGTCTCTTCCAATGTAGCTTTGTATGACTCCCTACGAATGTCAACTGTCAAATCTCCCGGAACATCTCCTGACATATTTTCGTCAGAGGTAGGTTTCAGGATCTAGGCAAACTTACTCCTCGCTCTTAGCACCCAGATACCCACCGAGTCCCATCGATATAGCTCCTGCGATGAGTTCTGCAAGTCCACCGAAAACAACGATTTTGGTATCACCCAATGCAGACAGTCCAGCGGTTAGGGCGAAAGGCACAGTCATGCCGTCCGAAAGACCAATGATGGCATCTGACACGGTGCGACCGTCGATGAAGCGGGAAGACCTTCGCTCCGAGTCATTGTCACGGTTTGTGCTGTTCCCCGCCTCGACATCGGGTCGAAGTTGAGAATGAGGATCCTTTTCATGCTCCGAAGAAGGACTGCGATCGGGGAGGGGCATATAACTCGACATCAGGCCGGTTGGGGGATTAACACGGTGAGATCGGAGGGATTGAGAACTGAAATGAAACCTTGCAGTATCCCTTGAATGGGATTTGGGAATGTTCGTTTAAGTGAAAGCGAGGGATGGGGCGAGCTAAGAGGACAGACCAGTTAGAGCACGCGATGCAGTCATGAGGTTTCCCATGCTTACAGCCTTACATATTGACAAAGAAATGATCAGCTCCCATTACTTACCACAGCCTATCGAGTGACCCAGGAAGACAACGTGCTTGGCGTTCCCCTCATGGACAGGGCACGTGCAACGCTGATTCGAGGAGGACGAGCTTGGGTGTGGGTCTATGTGGATCTCTGAGAGGGACTCCCGCTGCTTAACTTGAGGTGTGGACCCAATCAGAAACAGGACTTTATAATCCATCACTCCACCCGTGGACACGCTCACATGTCACTATACCTAAACTACTTACAAGCTCGCGACACTGCTTCGAAAGGAGTGATAATATAGACTCCCCCGACGGATTCAACACGCTAGTGTGTTGAGCCAGCGCCCTAGAGCATGGAGGCTAACATCCTAATAGAGAGATAGGAAGGAAGAATTGTATGTATAGTAGAAAAAGAAAGATGAAAGCAAACGCGAGAGGCGCGAGATGGGCGCAGAACAAGCGCGGAACGGACGCGATATCATTCGCATAGGAAAACTTTGAACATATGTTATACGGCGACCACACGTCGGATGAAGGTGGAATTTGGCAGGGTTATAGAGCAGAAAGTACCATATAACCTCTAAAAGGAAGTAAGAAAAAAGGGCAAGTAGCAAATGAGAAAATGCAGGTCAAAGAGGGCACCTAACTCGGAGATATGCATAGATGACTCCGTATAGTGCCAGCCCTAAGAGGGGTTAATATCGGCCACGAGGCTTAATACATACGTTGTATGTAGCTCGAGGGCACCATGGGTCATTCGCACCATGGATAAAGACAAAGAACCTCCGCAATTTCTAGCCAATAGTGCGGTATGAGGCAGTATGCTCCTTGCCGTCCAGTTTGTGACGGCTCATTCCGCCCAGGTACGGAAGGCAATCAGTCGCGAGGTTTAATTTGTCTATACGAGAGAGTGAGTACGTACTCGACAAACATGAGCATGGACCCAGGCCAACGCGGTAGTTGACTTGAAATTAAAAATCAAAGTATTTGCAGAAATGGCATACATTAAAATAGTCCAAGTCCCGGAGCCCGGATATTACTAGACATTTTAGTCGCTTAGACTTGGTCACGTCTGGATGAGTGTCTGACCACCACGGGCTCTGGGAACTTCTGTTCTTTTTTTGCATAACATGATACTATGTCAGATCACAGCCCTTCTTAAAGGTCAATCTAAACCCTAGGCTTGAAAGTAAAGTCCGATGATGAATCTTATTGCATGGATGTTAGATCCGCAAAGGACCCTGATATCCTCTTGAGCATGACCTTCACCTCTGGGACCCTATGCGGCAGGTGCGCACGGTACAGGTAGATGTAGAGGATTAGAGATCACAAGTAGAAGCAGACCTATTTACGTTCACTTCTTCACTCTTCACTTCTTCACTCTTCACTTCTTCCCTTTTCCTTTTGCTCTTTTTTTCTTTGCACTTGTTCACGAAGGAGCTCACAGTCTCGCGTTGAAAAAAAAAGTAGCTATGATTCTCTACTGGGGCTTCGTCGCTCTGACGGCTCTGGCCAGTCTTGCATCCACTTGTCCAACTAGGGGTGCTCAGGTTTGGAGCCAGCTAAGGGAGAACGTGAGTGGATTGCACAAAATCTATAATCCCGAAGGACCAGATGGCTTATAAGAGCATTTTCAGATAAAGCATGTCATCTATCTGACTCTTGAGAACCACTCATTTGACAATATCGCCGGCTACTGGGACTTCCATCCAGATATTGACAATTTGCGCAATCTCACCTTTTGCAATGACTACACCAACCCCAATTGGACAGTCTATGGGGAGCCACTAGCAATCTGCGCTGAGCCGGATGCAACCGAGGTGCCACTAGAAGACCCAGACCACAACTTTGGTGGAGTCGCCTACGAAATCTTCCGCCAGTGGAACCCGACAAAAGAGGATATCCCTAATATGGCAGGTTTTATCGAGCGCCAATCGGAGAAGTACAATGCTACCCCTGGAGATTCGGCATTCGTGATCAAGGCCTTGAGCCAGAAGAAGACCGCCACTCTGGCAGAGCTGGCAAGCAATTTTGCCTTCTTCGATTCATACGTAGGTTATCATTTGGTCTGCACTTGTCTACATCTATTGCAGATAATTGACTGTCGACCTTCCCTTGTAGTTCGCCGAGCACCCGGGTCCCACTAACCCCAACCGCCAATTCGCGACCTCAGGCTCATCCTGTGGTTTTGTCGATAACACTTATCAGTCCGCTGGGTTCTGGAACAATGTTACTGGGACTACTTGTGCGGTCTCGATCTTTGAATCGCTCAGCAAGAAAAATATCAGCTGGAAGAATGTAAGATGTGCCTCGTCCCTTTATACTGAGACCTAGCTAAACATTTCTATATAGTACTACGAGACCGACATCGTCGATGCATTCATGTACAAGGTCAGTCACACCCTATACTCAAGAAAGTATCAGCTCGGTGACTTACGATAATATCAAGTGGGTGCAAGACAACGCAATGGACCGTCTCGTCCATGCGACGGAGCTATACCATGATCTGGAAGCCGGCACACTGCCTTCATTTTCATACCTGAACCCGGAGTGCTGTACAATTGACTCGATGCATCCTACCAGCAGCATGGCAGCAGGGGAGCAGATGGTCAAGCACTTGTACGACGCCCTGCGTCGTTCCAAGTACTGGGACAATGCGTCAGTTTCTTTATCGTCATGCTGAGCGCAGCAATACTAATACTCAAATATAGTGTTTTGATAATCAACTTTGACGAGCATGGTGGGTTTGCTGACCATGTCCCCACTCCAGTCAACGTGCCTCAACCCGAAGACGGCATCATCTTCAAGGGCAAGTCATCAAACCACAATTTTGCATACGACTTTACACGCCTGGGAGTCCGGTATGCATCCTAATCTTAATCTGAGTCTAACTGCGTGAACATTCAGCTAATCTTTTCATCACAGTGTCCCTGCCTTCATAATATCACCCTGGGTACCCCCCAATCTCCTCATCCACGATCAAGGCACCATGTACGCCGACAATTCTGCCTACACCCATAGCTCAATCCTGCATTTCCTGCAGGAGCTGTGGGGCCTTGAGGGCTTGAACAACAGAGTCCAGTGGGCCAAGACTTTCGAAATGGCTTTCACCAACAAGCGGCGAGACGATACACCCAAGACATTGGTTAAGCCGACCTGGTATGGTGGTAGTGGGCAGCCGAAACCGGATCCCTTCTTCCTTTTAAACCAGGACGAGAGCTATTATGCACGCCGCAAGGCCCAGGCTAAAGCATAAGGGATGGGGGTGAGAACTGCTACATTGATAATGCAACTATGGTGGAAAACCGAGAATGATCCTTGAGATCTCCGGCTAGAAATGCGGATCTCTCGTTCTATGATACCAATATCAGTTCAATGGATTGGACGATGCCCAGTATACTTATTTACCGGCCCATGAGAATCCAATCCAATCAATTGACACCGGCTCGAAGCTTGATTTGTCAGTATTTAGTACAATAAACAACTTAAACAGACGCGATCTCAAAGCGAAGTCGAGTTTAGAATGTTTAACTACGAAACAAAATTGGGAATGGAGATGCATAGTGATCGCAAGTTTGAAATAGAAAGTAAGATCATATCAGGGCTGGCCATCATTCATGAAGCCTTTACCGAGACCATAAAGGCAGAAATAGGTATGAGCAGAAATAGGTATGAGCAGAAATAGGTATGACAAGAATGTGAGAATGTGAGAATGTCCAAGCTCATCCCTCAAAGTAGGAGTGCACGCTATTTTCGGGGACCAGCCCTTTGCTTGGGATCAGAGCATCCAATGAAAGTTGTAGATGGAATGGGGATGGATGCAGAAAATATGTCCAGTGTAAATCCGCGGAGAAGTGTTCATTGCGAAGCCTGGTGCAGAACGAGTCAGTCCGCAGTGGCTGCCAGTGGACCAGTCGATTCGAGGTGCGCAAGACGGATATTCCGGAGAGTACAGAATCTCTTAGGAACTGCGGAGTGAAGCCGAGTTCCATATCGTTGAGCTGGCAGTGTTCGAACCAGACATAACCAAAGAAAAAGGAAGTAGGCCCGACGTACTACTTGCGTTTCTCAGCATCCTTCTGCTCCGACGAAGAGGAGCCAGCCATATCCCACAGCCGGCTCTTGTAAGCGGGGAAGGAAGTATGGTTCCACATGTTGTACAGGACGCTATGGAGAAAATATCGGGTCAGTCGGCACGAACGAGCAAAGGCTGGAAAAGAACGCAGCAAGACAAAACACACCTCTGGGTCCGGTCCTTGTAGGCCTCATCCTTGACCTCCCTTACTTGCACTTTCATGCCGTCCTTGGTGAAAGCGATATTCTTGCGCTCCATCTTTTCGCGTGTGTTTTTGCCTACATCTTGCACGATGCTGTAGACGACAAATCCGATCGCGGCAATGATGCCAACGAAGACGAGGAGCAGGATGAGGGGAACAAGATTGCGGGCGCCCATGGTGGGAGATCGTTTATTGGGCTACCGGAGGGTCTAGTGAGTCGGGATCTTTGTAATTGTGAAGAAGCGAGGCGAAGAACCGAAGGCTAGGTAGGATGGTTGGAATCAAGGGAAGATAACGGGGTGAAGAAAAAAAAAAAAAACAATGGACTATATGCCAAGAACAGGTGTCTTGTCGCAAATAGTTTCAGCCTTAAGTCTTTTCTAGGCACTGTTGCTGCCTGGAGTGGATCTGAAGGTTCCTTGCACAAAAGGAATGCTGTTTAAATTCCAGCGGGGCAAGGCTGAAGATGAGACGACTCAGGGGCTGGAGACCTTCGTGTTTCAACGGTCCTTTGGAGTAGAGAATGACGTTTTGATTCGAGGGGAAATGGCATGCATCGTGGCTGTGTTAGAGTGTGGCTTCCAACTTTCGAAGTCCAGGGCTTAGCCACTTGCTGAGTCATTTTTATCGGGAGGCCCCGGCCCGGTCCCGGGCATTTTTGAGGTTAATTTTAGTCCAGGAGACATCTGGAGCTATTCTCCGTATATCTTACGACTTAATCTACTTTGATCGGATGGGTTTGATATATAACATACGTTATCTTTGCCTGTTATCACTATGAAGATCACCTCTAATACCCCAACACGAACTAACGCTCCCCACTACCTAAAACAGGACGATCGGTGGATCTCGATCTCATCTGCGTCATCATGATAGAATCCAAACCCACGACTAAAACGTAACCGAGCGGTGAATACTCCATCTGGGGAAGCTCATTTCTTCGAGATAATTTGTCTGGATAAAGGCCGGGACAATTCTCTACATATTCCAGTTCAAGACCCTGCAGCTCAGCGAAATCCGACACCATGTGTGACGTCCCTTTCTTTCCGATCTTCCCTATCTGCTTTCAATGCGGAACTGATCAGAACCCATGTAATTGTAAGGTGGTCGGCCCGACAGTCGGTAAGCCCGGTTCTTCTGCAATGTGAATCGCTGGAAAATGAGCCCATGTCTGACGAAACGAACAGGGTTTTTCTCTACCATTGTAGCAGCGGTAAGTAAATATAGTATCGTCTCGGGCGACAGCATGAAGATTCTCTTGCTTGGCTCCAGGCTCATGACAGCCCTTTTTTAGATCGTCTGCTATCCCCTATCTATCTTCTGTGGCTGCGGCTGCACTCAAGCTGGAAAGAAGTATGTCCTGATATCCCGCTACTGCTTGATATCCAGGCTAACAAATAGTAGCATGCTGGGATACCCTGTCAAGCTAAACCAGAAGATCAGTAATGCAATTCCAATCTGATATTGCTAGGCGCTTGAAATATATTTCAAAGCCTTTTCATTGTATCTAATCATTTCATCCTAGTCTCATTTTACGCTCTGCGTTTGATCAAACTAAATGCCTTTTCCCCCTTCTTCCTACAAGATTTCTGCCCACATACTTTTAGAACACTTGTCCTTTCTTTTGATTCCGTTATTTCGTACTCGCAAGATATGAATGCTCAAAAGCCATTGGTGACATTGCATTTGGATATTAAAAATATATAAACAACATGTACTGGAAGGAGAACTCAATGCCCCGAAAATAATTCCCCCCCTTTTGCTCCGTGACATATATCCCCAAGACATACTTAGGTGGAAGACTTTTCGGGAGCAGGTAGATAACTCGCGGAGTATTCATCAGCTTCATCATAGTCTTTCAATTCCAGTCTTTTCAAGTATCCCCCCTTCAACAGATCTCCCACACTGGACTGAGCCAAAAGCTGCGATCCAAACCCGGGCTGCTCAAACCAAGACGCAATGGGTCCCAATAGAACATCAAACTCCTTGGTCACCTCATAGACATGGTAGTTGTACGGGAAGCTGCTGTTGGGTGGCGCGAAAAGATTGGATGGTGGCAGGGATCGTTCGATATATGGGGCTCCAAGGGGTGCTAGGAACTTTCCATATTCAGACCCGAATCTATCAAGCTTCTGGCCCACGCGGAGTGTGAAATTCCCTAGAATAGACACCTTCTCGGATGTTACGGCAAATCCGTCGCTGTCTGGATAGACCCAGTAACCGTTTGGGTCGGAAGCGTTCAGGGTCCATTTCTCCAGGAATTCGACCGGGCAGAGCTCGCCAAAGCGGGAGTATGTCTCGAGCTCATTAGAGAGAGGGAAAAATCCAGGGGGGTCCTTCGGACCAAGTCGTGGGTCGCCACAAACAGCAGTAGAGTTCACGTAGGTCACACCTTTACAGGGGTCTGGGTAGCATCTTTTTGGGTAATCCGGCTCCTGAGAAGTATGAGCATTGAACCTTATATAACCTGGAGTATCGAAAAATGGGTATATGACTTACCTTGTTTGTCTTATGCCGGATAGGAGTGACGAAGGACGCGGCTTCTGCTAGAGCAACCGAAAGAAGCACACTTATAGTTGAGAGATGCATGGTGAATAGGAAATATATCCTGATAATCTCTGTGGGTTGATTGAAGAAAGGAGACAAGAGTCATTAATATATTTGAAAGTGCCAAGGAGAATTGGCCTTCCGATCTCGCGATCTGCAGGACTATTCAAATCATGCACCTAAACTATGCAGGCAGATGGGTCTTGCCTGCTATTTCCCTCCAAAGGGTTAGCCACGCGCTTCTTCGAGCTCACTTCATTCCAATCGGCACCCGGTATTTCTCCCATTGCTATTCTACCGAGGTATCATTGCTCCGATTACAGGCTAACATTTCTGGAGAGCGCAGCATATCTTACTAGTACTCATAGGGTAGTACTCCGTACAGGGTTGTACACACAAGGTTCGGAATGCTCTAGGCACAATCACCTCCATCATTTATATTCTCTAATTCTGGGAGTGAGTCCTCCGTGCTCCGTGGGACCATTCAGAGTACCCGAGAAATATGGGGCGTCTGAAGAAGTCAATTGTGTTAGCTGAGCTCGTATCAGCCACAGAAATGCAGGCAGATGCAGATAGCTTCTTATTTAGGAAAAGGAGACACAACCGAGTACCTAGCATTTATTTACTCCGTACTCCGTACGAAGCACGGAGTAATATGTACTTAATAATCAGGTTCCTCCAGTCAATTCCTTCCAACCCAATAACCTACTTTTCCTTGTCAGCTACCATTGGTTTATTTTAATTGTCCTTATTCCCATTTGGTTTCAAACCGGCCTAGTCAAGATTCAGAGGAGGGATTAATAGTTTGTGATCTGCTCGTTAGGTGCATCGCACATGCGGGTGATAGGGCCATGAATCTGTTCGGCCATAAGATTCGAGACCCACACCTTGTTAGGCTTGCAGACGACGATTTCCTTCAGCTGAAAGCTGAGACCGCGCGGAACTTAGCCAATAATTGTAGAGTGGATCCATTAGCCGTGTGACAACCAGCAAATCTCGAGGGGAGAGGTTCAGCTTTTCCAAATTTACTATTTGTTCTCGAGCAGCTCAACGCCAATTTGACACTGCATCAATTAGATACATCAATTTGCCTATCCAGGATTGATAGCGACAATGCCCCTTCTCTCCCAACGATTATAGCCCTGTGTTCTGCCCCTGAATTGTACCCCGCAGTATTTCTTCGGGAAGGGATAGACCCGCTATAGGCCCATTTGTTCTACCCACTAATAAAGGTAAGCTGGCTGTGTGGTATTAAGATCGAAAAGATCATCAAAATATTAATTGAGACCATAAGATTCAGGATTCTTACTCCGTACGTTAGTCTAGGTAGCGCACGGTCGCCTGAGCTTCCTAAACACAAGCTTCACCCTCGAAGAACAGGGGAAACCGCCAATATCGTTAACATGCTGTATTCTATCATGTGCGTTACGTAAGGACCTGACGTATAATTTAGTTTTAACCGGTCGTAAATTATGTGGATGACTAATAAATGCCAGTAGCCGCTGAGACAACCCTCGTTAAGCGGCTACTTTTCCGAGTACTAACAGAGCCTACCTCAGCATCCATTCAGACTCAACGATTTCCGCAGTAGTGAGCCTTTCATTCGGCCTAAAAGCTAGCATTCCCCTTAACAAGGTAAGTAGGGCAGTCGTCTCGGCCTCACTAACCTCTTCTATTGCGCTTCCCCGCCGCGGCTTCTGTGCAGAAATAACGAAGCGGTTTGCTAAAGATCTGCCTGCTCCTTTAGACGTTCTCTTAGCCTCCTCCGTAGACCATCTTTCTCTCACGTCCTATTTCTGCCACTAGTCGCACGGCAGCTTGCCAAGCGCATCCACGTGCTCCTTTATCATCCAGTGGCTGGACGGATTTGAACCCTCAAATAGTGATGATATCCTAGGGGGTATATGCGAGAGTCCATATATCAAAGGGAAATGACTAAGGCTTATTGGGCAAAAAGTAGGTCTCCGGAGGAGCAAGGATACCGGAAGTGTTAGAATAGTGACGTTGAGTAATAGATGGTAGAAATGACTCTCCAAAGTTATTGACAAAAACTTTAGCTTCAGAGAGGGCCAAAACTCGCTTTCTTTCCCTAGCCAAATGGGCACAACACCGTGAGTAGGAACTCCGTCGGATAGTGGCTTGCCGTCAAGGCGCACAGATGGCTCGACACTAGGCTGACCGTATTTCTAGTATAATTCTTCCGGGGAAAGCTCGTCTATGCTGTTCGGCAAGCGAAACATTATATTCCCCGCATGGAGGTCTGTAGCGAATCTCGTTAGTAGGTAACGCTTATAAAGCCAGACAAATCATAATAATGAATGTAATACCGGCATGAACTACCCCTCGGAGATGTAGAAAAGCGACAGCTTGTATGACTTGGGCCGCAATGGCCCTGGCCACAGGCAATTTGAAAAGTCAGGTATATGACGCATCTTTCGCCTCATCTAGGGTCATCATCCTAGGCTCTGTAACAAGGCATCTCTGCCTTCCATTGGGCCCATCAAGGGAAACATATCCAACACACGAGGGATCAGATCTTTCTCAGGATGTGCCTCGTCGTTTGGTTCTGAAAGTGCTAGGGCGTTGAGGATTTTACTTTCCGGCAGGTCTGCTTCTGTGTCGGCGATGGCAATCTTGACGGCCACGTACTTTCTCGTATTCCTCTCTCTTGCCAACCAAGTTGTCGAGTAAGTACCAAAGCCAAGCTTATGAACGACATCGTAGCGGTCACTAAGACGGTCCCCAGTAGCTACGGGATGGTATCCTCCAGGACGATAACACCCAGGATTTTCTATGTCCTCAAGAGGCATACATTCAACTGGAGCACATTTTTCGGAGGATGCGTGGGGAGCGACAGAGTCCTTTCTACGATGAGTAGCGACGATGTTTCTCCCATGGAGCGAAATTAGGCTCGGGAAACTGGTAGGATGCGGCGCAGTGGCAAATAGAGAATCGGACAGCGCTAGCTGCCTTCGAATATTGAATGAAGACTGTAAGCGCTTCGCTATGACAGACAACAGGTGAGAAGCGAAGGAGACAGATCCAAGGTCGCTCCACAGGGGTACCAGTTGGTGTGGGGAGGGATACAGTTCATTGGCCAACTTACGAGCCACAACCTTGGAGACACAGCACAAGGTTTGTTTGTCGGCCCGTATCCGAGACCACGCTAAGCCCTGTGTGGATTGACGGTAATCTAATATCTACCGTGAGCGAAGCATTACTTACGGCTAATATTGGTATAGGCTAGTGCGGTATCTCGTACGGGCCGCCAAACAAAGCTTCAGTGTCTTGAGGGTAAACTGTTTTCGAAGTCTGCTGTACCCAAAGGATATCTATCCGCTGTGAGTGTTCTATTTACGGGAAACAGCCTGAGTAAAGTTGATGCTGTTACAATCCTCCCTCTCCACCTTCCCATTCAAACAACATTGCCATATTAGCTGGAATAGTAACGATCAGTCTCAGTATCGTGGACCATGTTAGTCCGCACGACCTTTCCATTCTTGAGGAATCCGTTCGCGACAACTCCACCTGCGGCCACATTGTCCGAGTTCCGTTCCAAACGATTCTCGCCGCTCTTAACAGTGAAGTTAGCCAGGGAGATCTCCCCGGCATTGCGCTCCTGGGTGGTAGGCACGCCGAAGAAATGAGCTCCGACTTGTTCTGGGGTGACGTGGAGTTCAAAGTATCCGCGGTAGTATCCCTCAGACCAATGCAGCGACTCACTATCAGTGACAATTCGCTCGGAGATATTGTTTGCCGCAGGAATAGTGGTGTTCTGTCCGAAAGAGGAGGGAGAGCTGACGGCGGCTCCGCCGAATTCCACACCGATGGCGCCGGCACCGCTGCTGGAGTCATATGGGTTGTGGTTGAGCCATGCCAGATCGCTGACCCAGTTGACGTGGGTATCTCCCGCGATGACGATGTTGTTACCAATCTTGTTGTCATAGAGAGTCTGCAAGGTCCGGTTCTTGCTCGCCATATAGCCATCCCAAGCATCCATGTTCAGTGGTTGTTCGGGCCCGGACGAGACTGTCATGTTCAATTGAGAGAATACTGCAATGATTCCGTTAGTGTAAGCTAACATTAGGCTTTAAATCAGGAAAGGCATACTGATTTGGCTGCCGAGGATGCGCCAGTGAGCACCACGGTTGGCTGACTCAATCAGGTTACGCTGCAACCAGTTCTCCTGACGGCTTCCCATCAAACTACGACCGGCGTCATCTTTGATCGCGTTGATGTAGTTAGTGTTATCGTAGGTATCAGTAATGGAGCGGTCATATTGTCTGGTGTCCAGCATGATCAGGTCCACCAATTTGCCAAGCTTGAAGTTTCTCCAGATGCGGAGGTTATCGTCCATCTCGACTTGTCTAAAATCGATTAATACATACAACTTGACACTATTCACTGACGACTCACCTGATGGGCATCCATTCGAAGTAAGCACGGACGGCGTTCATCTTACGCTGGTCAACGGAGACGCCTCCATCCTGAACAAAGGATTTTTCGTCGTTTCTGAGCTCCGAAGCGCCATCCCGGTAGGTGTTATCGGCCACCTCTGCTGCAATTAGAACCCAAACGCATCTTCCTTTTGTGAATGTAATAGGGCCATACCGTGGTCATCCCAGACAGGAATCCAAGCAAACTTCTGATGACTGGCTAGCAGATCCAAATCGGTTCTGTAGGTGGCAATGCGCTTGCGGTAGTCATAGAGGGTGACGATGGTTCGGTCCGGTAGAGGGATGCGTCCCAAGCTGTTACCCCAGCCACTAAATCGAAGCTTAGCTGATACAGTCGAGATTCTCGAGTTGACTCTACTTACTAGTCGCCATTCTTGTATTCGTAGAGGTAATCACTGCACACAATCAGTTTGAGCTCTCATGCAAATATCAAGTGCCACTTACCCGAGATGGACGACATAGTCCACGGAATCCTTTCGCACAGAATGTCCGTAGGCATTGAAGAAACCAAATGCTGCACTTTATGTTAGTGCATACATCCCAACACACAGGTAGACATGCAGACATACGGAAGTTGGCGCAAGAGTAAACGGCCAAGTTGACCTGGTCGACCTCCTCCTTCGAATCAGGAGCCGTCTTGGTTCTTCCAACCGGGCTCTTGTTGTCCGAATTGCAGACTTGGAACTGATAGAAATAGGTGGTGAATGGCTTCAACTTGGATGCTTCGACCTGGTAATTCAATGAGCGAGCCTCCAAGTTTGCGATCCATAAACAGCTTGCTTACCTTCACAGTGTAGTCAATGTCGGAACTCGTATATACAGTACCTTCCGCTGCGATGTGGTTGAAGCTCTCATCTTTAGACACCTTGTAGTCCAAGCAAACAGGAGCATTCGATACGGCCACCTGCTCCTCGGCATCTTGATCCCCTGAGTATATCGGGACTGGGTTGTACAACGGAACAAGACCATGCGTAGAGCTATTAGAGTGAACATCGTCGAAAGTCGGCGAGCAGCGAGTCCATAGAATCACAGAGTCTGCATAGGGATCTCCAGAAGCAACGCCATGGGTGAAGTGCAACTTGGATGGGTCAAAGGACGATCCGGGAACCCCGCGCTTCGCAACCCGGTGAATCGAGACACCCAGTCCTGGATGGTGCTCCGACGGACTGCGGTAGTTCAGATTTCCTGAGTAGCTCGCAGTGGCCGCGGCTGCCGATGACAGCACGAGAGACCAGGAGAGCTTCATTTCGGGAGAAAAAAGTCAACTGGAGGGTAAGAAATTGAGAAGTCAAAGTGTTGGGGTTGCCTCATTGACTACAATCTAACAGGCGCTCGACTGGCTCATATATAATAAAGAGAATTGCGGTGGTTTCCATTTTGAAGGTACGACATAGTCACAGCCACCTCGCGGCATCCAACATTTAATCTGGCGTCTGTTATGATCAACGAATCGGATTGACCTACAGCGACATGACCTTGCAGCTCACCAGGATCGGCAGGGACATGGAGTACTATGTACAGAAAATACCCAGTTTTCGGTTGTATGGTTCAGGAACGTGGTGAGCCACGTGAAACTATAAGATTTATCACTGGCAGATTTGATGTAGTGCCAAGTGCCCAGACATTGCCGATATTTAGCCAAGGCCTTTCAAATTTCACCCCATAAGTCCTATCCCCGTAATTTTGATTCAATTGGTAATTAACTAATCTACTTATTAACTAACTAGCTAGGACCTCGGGACTACCACTGTTATCCAGAGCATCGACAATTTTACTTTTTGTCCGACTGGGGTTTACGTGACGCGTGAGCGCTAAACCTGAAAGGGTAAAACTAACCAGAAAAGGAAATTCCCAATTTATATGGACCAGAGGTGAGCCTTGACCTTTCTACACATCTACAACATAAGGATATTGCTTCCAAGGTTGATACCTACAGCCCCTTCCACTCCATCACAACAATCGACCTCTTCCCTCCTCCCTTGTTCGGGCTTACCGGAGCCCAGTCCTCCAATGTACAAATCTCCTCGAAGTTGTTCTTCTCCAATACTCTTGAGCTGCCCATATTCCCAACATAAAAGCTGCCTCTAAGAAGATGAAGGTTCATCCGCGGGATAGCCCAGTCTTGGATGATAGTTCGAACAGCAACACTCATAAGTCCTCGGCCGTGTTGGGAAGGAGAAAGATGGTCTGTTAATATTGTTAGCAATTGAGCTTGAGTCTCATTGGGGTCTCCATACATCCTATACCCCAGATGATATCCTTGTGCCCCGCAGGCAAATCATTATTTTGCTTTTGTGCCAGCGCAAGCTCCGAGCTATCGGGTGGCAGCTCATAGAAAGCATATCGCGCTAGTGTAAAGTCTCCGATCCACACATCTTGAAGCGGAGCGCCGGTCGCAGGATCTCTTTCTGTTACTTCGCGTATGCAGACGAAAGGGCATTTATCAAAGAACTCCGGTTTCTCTTGACCATTCGAACCGTCGACCTGCTGGCTGTCCGATGCTTCGAATTCTCTTTGCAGAGTAGACAGGATATCTTTGTTTTCTGCTATTTTCATTTTGATCCAGTCCACGCCGTGCTCGGGCAGAAAAGGGTAGGGTGGCCCTTGTAGCCAGGAGTACACGCGTGAATCGTTGAGAATTTCGGTCATTACAGCAGCTGTCTCTTCGATCTGGTGTTCACGTTGTGGGGTGATGATGATGTTTGCACGTGGTGCTGGGAGTTGGAGATAGGGCTCTTTGGTGAGCGGGTTATAGTGGACAACCATTTTGACACAAGCCAGACCAATTGAAAGAGTCTCAAGTGGAATATCTATACTAATTCCAGATGTTCACATTATATAGGCTTGCGTTTCAGCTACGCAAGGCCTTAAGATCTTTGTGAGTCACTCGGTAATTGAGAGCTAACCAATTGTGGGCGACACTACAATTAGCTCGATGTTAGCCTGTCTACGATTTTGTTCTCCCAACCTCTTGGCTAATAACTGTCCCTTTTTTGTTCCAATAGTCCGTGCAAGGATATCTTGGCCGAATCTGCACGAAGTGACTCAGAACGGAATGAACAGATGCCAGACACCCGTGTACTCACTTGCCTGAAAATGGCTCCTGGACTGAGCGATAGACTTGGCAACATGGGAATAACCAGAGCAAGACAAATCGCGCAAAGTTCGAAGGCAGCCCGTTTAGACCTTGTACCATCGCAGATTTGATAATGGCTGAGAATGCAAGCGCATATTATTAGGAACGCAAAGGCAAGCAGCAGAGCAAAGCACAGAAGCCCATAGTCTGCTGTGTCTTCTGGCATGCAATTGTTTGCTGTAGTTTATTGTCGGCCCCGTTATTGAGAGTTTCAATGGTATTCGAGTCACCACTTCTGTAATATTTTTTGGGTATGACGTGAAATATTACACGCAATGATTCGAACAGAAAGGGGCTCACCGATCTATGTCACTCTATCCTCTGATCATGTACCGGGCCGGAGTACCGTAACGCGTGCAGGTAAGTCGGCGATGAAGTATTGCTAGCATAACTGGAATCTTGGGGCAAGCAAGGTATACAATATCTGGATGCATTTGTATGTGGGTAATGTCAATTAGACAGCCCGCTGAGAAGGCTGAGAAAATGAGAGCGCTTCATAATTTTCTATTATACACAGACCGCGCCAGGTGCGACTATCTCGAAATGGCATTGTACTTCCGCTTGGGTATATATATGTTAATTTACAGGCACCCGACTGGTCAATTGCTCCAGACGCCCTGCCAAGGCTCGATGTTTGCGCATGACCTCCTCCCATTCATAGGCCATACCTTCAGTATCTTCCTCCCCGCCCAGCTCGGTCAAAATCATGCCAAAGTCACCACCGAGGCGACCAAGACTTGCGGCACAGTACAGAAGCTGGGTGAGAAGGCTTTCCCTCGAACTCCGATCTCGGACATTGGGAAGATAGGACCGCATTGTATCCGTGAGCAATTGCACGAGATGCATTGGGAAAGTAGCTAAAGCCGGGGGGAGACGTTGCAAGGGGTCATCTGAGTGTGCTGGCTTTGACTTGGCCTTGGAGTGGGCGTCCGCACCTCGTAAACCTGAGATGGCAAACTCGGATTCGGATTGCTCGGAGTTAAAAATACTCTTGTATAGCGAGACAATTGCAAAGCTCTGCTCACGGAAGATCTCAATGTATCTTTTTAAGTAGCGGTCAGTCTGCTGACCGCCGGACCACGAGGTCGTGTCTGATTTGTCTTTGCCACAGAGTCTCCGTTGGGTTTCTTGGTCCGCAAGCTCACGGAGGGGATCCAGAGCTTCAAGCGTCGATACCAAATGCGCCAGTCTGCAGACCAGGAAGATGGCCCCAAGAGCGCCTTCTCCTGTCCCGACTGCCCCATCGCTCTGAATCATATCTAGATCCGGGGCTACTCGCCGCAGCCAACCCACAGTTCGGATACCAGCTGCTAACCGCAGGTTCTGGGTTCGGAGCCCCGTGATCAGATTACTTGTCATGTCCTTCATAGCATCCTCCGCCTGGGACGCAACATCTTGAACCAATGGAGAGTCGGGGTATAACGTTTGTAGTCGCTTGATATGTGCATGTAGGTCGAGTGCAGAGGAGTAGGTTGTAGAGGAGACACCGGTACCGGAATTGACTGAGGCCGCGGAGACGGCTTTGGATAGCAGACTTGGTAGTTCCAATATATCTGACAATCGGTCGACATTGCGAGAAAGCTGCATCGCTTTCTTCCGTCGTTCTAGGGCGGCATTGTCTGTGACTTTACTGTATTTGGTGGAAAACCCAACGGCCTCCTCGTCGAGTTTGGGGATAGCATCGCGTAGCTGCTGCGCCTCGCGGGTCAACTGTGGGACAGATGTACGTAGTGTGGACAAATTATCGGCAGAGGTGACAAATGCCCGGTGCGAACGGTTCGATAGGGCTTGGAGGGATAGAAGGGTCGAGTGGGAGGATTGGGCGAGCGATGGGGGTTCTGTGGTCTGCAGAGCTTCGAGTGACAAAGTTGAGAGGCGAGTGAGATATTTGTCGGTAGTTACATCGTGCGATTGAGTTGGATCTAGATGTGGAGCGAGTAGCTCCAGCAAGTCGGCCATGGCGGGTTGATGCTATTCGGAAGTTGCGTAAAAGAGGCGCCCTGAATGGATCACCCGCCCGTTGGCCCGTGCGGGTCAGTTGTATCCCGACTGGAATGAAGTTTTTCTTTACTTTTGTGTTTCTTCTCTCTCTTTCAAACTGTTTTCCGCTTTAGATAGACGTTTGTTTTGGTCATTTTCATTTCTTTCTTCTTCCCTCGTTGTCTTGCTGCAAATACTTCTACTAGCCCCTCCCCCGCATTCGCCCATTACATTTCCCCATGACCCTTCCACCATGGGGAAGCCACGGGTAAGTCTCCATTTTGGACTGATTGGGATGTGTCTTGGCTTAAACTAACCATTTTACTACTTATAGATGATCATTTTAGTGCGACATGCACAGTCAGAAGGCAACAAAAACCGCGACATTCATCAAACTATTCCAGACCACCGGGTGAAGCTCACTGCTGAAGGACATCGACAAGCCCAAGATGCAGGTCGTCGACTACGTGATCTCCTCCAACCCGACGACAAACTTCACTTCTTTACCTCTCCTTATCGGCGGACAAGAGAGACTACCGAGGGAATCATTGAATCCCTAACCTCCGATACGCCCGCTCCTTCGCCCTTCCAGAAACAAACAATTAAAGTTTATGAAGAACCCCGGCTGCGGGAACAAGATTTCGGTAATTTCCAGCCATGTTCCACAGAGATGGAGCGCATGTGGATGGAGCGGGCAGACTACGGTCATTTCTTCTACCGTATTCCCAATGGTGAATCCGCAGCAGATGCCTATGATCGGGTGAGTGGGTTTAATGAATCCCTCTGGCGTCAGTTTGGGGAGGATGACTTTGCGAATGTCTGTGTGCTTGTTACCCACGGCCTGATGGCACGAGTATTTCTCATGAAGTGGTATCACTGGAGCGTGGAATACTTTGAGGATCTTCGCAACATCAATCATTGCGAGTTCCTGGTCTTGACCCACAATCCAGAAAACGGCAAATACACACTACAGAACAAGCTTCGCACCTGGTCAGATCTTCGAAATGACCGAGAGCGTGAAAATGCATCGAAAGGGCAGGTCTCTACGCCTGTTGGTCATGCCGGACATACAGACCATATCCCAATTCGGCGCAAGTGGGGCGGCTGCCCCGACGGCTGTACTCACGGCATGAGGGCAGAGAGAAAGCAATTTTTGCGAGCGAATCTACTGAATTCCATGCGTCACGAGCATGGATACGCTCAACCAAAGCATGTCGATGACCATGCCAGCAGTTTTGGCTCTAAACTTCACAAGTCTATATCCATCGACGAAGTGGTATCGTCCTCAGAAGACAGTTCGGCCCAGAATGATACCAGCCCCAAACCCAGCGCCCGTCATGTCTCCAACCCCCAACACCCACTTCGAAACGATGAAAATGGAGGCACCAGAAAGCAATACGATTCTGGCTCAGAAGCCCGGCCAAACATCAATCCATCACATCCAAAACGACCAAACTTCCACGGACGGAACCGAAATAGTGAAGACCATCTCCCCCACGTGCCACACTCCACATCTTCATCATCAGCGCACCTAAAGTACGCCCTCCTCCACCTTGGCGGCCGTGACGGTGGAGGGTCCATGAGCGGAGCAAACAGCCTCGCCCCATCTGACGACGAATGTGACGACCACGTTCATCACCGTCAAGCTGCACCAGCATCACCCAGCCTCGCCACTAGCAATTTATCCCATGCGAACCAGGAACACTTCGAATTCCCGCCCAGCGAGCAAACCCAACCGCCACCTCCCTCTCAGGAGCTCGAAGATGATGGCGATGACGAGATGAGCGGCAATCCCACCGAGAAGTTGAAGAAAACTCGCCTGCACTATCCCCACCATCATCATCACTATCATCACCACCATGTGTCTTCTTCCACTGACCAATCCGAGCACCGCATGGCCAACATCCTAGGCGACGGAGATGAGTCATCCAACCACTCGGAATCACAGAGGCGAAGACAAGAAAGTTCGTCAACGGATTCCCCATCTCATCTCCACGTCGAGGAACTATCCTTAGAAGAGCAACAAAAGCAAGATCAGAGTATCCAAGGGAGCGTCTACTAATAATGTTCCGGTTGCTTTGATTGATATCTTGGCTGCTTTCATACGTTTACATACTTCTCCTTCTCCTTTACTAGTTCTTGTCTCTTGTCTACATCTACTCTCACGACCCGCGACGACTGTCTGGATGAATTTTGATTACCCACTAGTACAACTGCATTTTGACCCATATCTTGTTTCAGCCTGATGGCCCTTTTCGGGGTTAGGCTAGAATGAAAATCTATCACAAGAATAATTACGAGATCTGGACTCATGGTTCATAAATGTCCAAGACTGCGTAACCCAAGAAGTCGCCAAAACCAGCAACGGACAGAGAGTGGAGGCTCACTATGTACTAAGTAGAAGATAGGAGGGATGTTGATACGAGTCCTAGGACACACCAAAAGTTGTAGTCCCGACAAAGATAAATAGTTTGCCGCTAATCTAGTGATATGTCTTCAAATAACTGAGCATCAAGGCCACAGCCACAGCCACGGACGTCATTAGCCAGGTCGACACATAACCGATGGAGACGGGACATGTGATAGGTCCTGACTCGGCGGTAGCGCCGAACGGCAAAGAAGTCAAAAAGAGCAGACAATTTCAGACTAAACAGTTGTCAGTCGCAGGGACTGGACTCTCAAAATGGAAGACGCATCCAGGGTACCGATATCCACCGGATACATGCGAAGATGCCACTGGAAGAAGAGACACCAAGAGGGAGGGTTTTCTATCTGTGTCACATGTGAGGGGGAGAGAGGTGGGAGTGATGGAATACATCAAGCAGCTAAGAAGGGTTGGAAAGAATCCTTGAATTGTTGATCTCATTGATTGGAGAAGAAAGGCTCGTCAGAGAAAGATAAAATCGAAGGAATCGACAAAAAAAAAAAAAAAAAA